AGCCTGCGGATTCTGCCCCTATATCTGTCCAAAAAACCGTCAGAGTGAAATTGGAAACCGAACCCACCCAATGATGTAACCGCATTTTGTACGTTGAAAGTATACACCGCTCGACGGTGCAATAACATTCAAATTGTTTGGAAAAGCTTGTGGTTTATCTGTCTTTTCATCAGTACGTTTTCTTTATTTTTTTCATTGTTGATGATAAACGCCTTTGCTATTGTCATTTCACAGATGATGTGCCGACTATCGTAGCGCAAAAGAAACCGATCGTGGCGGTCGCGAAGCATTTGTGTGGCGATGCAACTGGTAAGCATGGGTTTTCATTTTTACAACTCATCAGTTTATGCTTACCAGTTTTTTGTGTGTAGTTTTTCAGTCACAGAAAAACTGAACAGTTAACGGTGATAGTATCAAAAAAAAAGTTGAAAATACCAAGATTCGACATAGTTCTTCCGGATCTGTCTTCTTCTCGGTACTAGTTCGTGCTATTTAAGGTTATCATTCAGAGTGGGGAGGGGGGAGAGAAAGAAAGGTCTAGGGAATGTACCGCAATGAGATTTCGAATACTCGACGTAAATCGCATGAGTTGGGTCAGAACTAACTTTATCCGCAAAACAAATGCAAGCCCTTTTTCATAAAGATTAACCGCTAGATCACCCTATATAACGCCAGCTTATGCATGACGGAACAGCTAGAAGTAGCTTAAGACTTCGGGATTCTATGGGGTTACAACCGAGTACAAATTGCAGAAGCCTAAATTACCGTCTGATTTCCGCCAACTAGCCTTAGTGGATCGACAAGGCGATTTACATTATTTCCAGTGTGTTTGAGTTAGAGAAAATTACATTTTACATTCCATTCCATAACTTGTAACACGGCGATCATGCATTGTGCGCCCGTGAAAATCGAGCGAGCAACATTTAAGCACATTTGACTCACTCACCTCCACCAATTTCAATCGTGTGACATGTTCGGTAACCGCACAGAAGGACATTGTGATCATACGGCTCACTCATTCTCATGTATATCAGACAATATCTCCGAAGTAGGGCAGAGTCACTCAATCTTCACAAACTACATGGGTGGATAGATGTGTTCTCTGAAATAGATCATGGTTAGAGAATAGGTTAGGATGAGCATTGCTTTGGCTAGATTGATGGAAAAGAAACCATGCGACATATACGTTTTGTGGTTGAAAAATATTAAGGGACATGGAAATTTTTTCAGCCTTATTATCTGAAATGTATTTTTGGAATTCCTCCTTTGTTTAACTGTCCTCTCTTTTCATTGAATATTCCCACAGTGACACTAGTAAAACGCAGTAGTGATCAGAGCTTGTTTTCGATATCTTCCCCGGGTAATGCATTTCCAATGCATGCAATAACTAAGCAAACGAAAAATTCTGATCCTTCATTTGCAAACCAAAGAGCCCATTCCATCAATACTATTCATAAAATCAAACAATTGCAGCAATTTGATATATAACTATATTATATATATATAACTGTATTAGCCCGAGGAAGATGTCAAAACAAGGTTTTTTCACCACCGTGCTCTCTTTTTCATTGGATACTTCCTACTGTTATTTTCCATTGGATTAAATGAATGATGATAACAAAAGCTGTGCTGTCTGTTGACCAAATTGAAGATTGAACAAACGGAAACGGGACTAGCATCATTCATTTATCCCTAGCCCCATCGAGTGCCCCGCCCGCACAACACAGACAGAGGTGCAGTGAATATGTCTCAGAAGGGCGCACGGTGGCGCTGGTACACCCCTCCTAATCGTGCACTTGATTCCACCATTTTTACAATATGATGTGCAGGTATCATCATTTCGATTTTTTCAGCTTCCCGTGAGAACCTTTATATTCGTGAATGAAAGACACTACGGTACATTGATTACCTCTTTAATCACAAACGTACAAGGTTTTATTCAGTCTTCTCTTTCTTTATCTGTCTGCTTGTTTGAATTTGTCTTCCACAGATCTGACGCTTCGGTGCTTGAAAAATGCCCTGACAACTACCAATAAGCAGGAAGATTTTAGGAACAAGTAAGTAGACATACACTTACCGAATACAAGTATGCGCTTACCACAGCAGCTGGCATATTGTGTGTCCACTAGGGTATGTGAAAACGGAGCACCACTCACCCCTCCTCAAACCTGTCACTTTCCCTTTCGTTTGTTCGACGAATCGGGAAACTTATTCGTCATCGCCTTTTCACCGGTCGAGGTCGTATTTTCAGTACTTGTGTTGTGACGACAGTCTTCTTCTGTCCGCTCACTTCAGTGAATTTGGTCTCACTGTTTTGGTTTTCTCAGTTCGCTGCGTAACTGGAGCGGACGGAGGTCGGTCCGTTCGGAGTGGCCCTTTTATCCACAGTCATAAGGTCGACGAATGGTTTTGTGTACGTTGCGTCAGCGGAACATTGAAACACATTTGATCCACTAACAGCGGAACTTTTTCCTAAAGCTTATCATAAGAACTTCAAAATAAAGGACGGTCTATGTCCAGGACGATTTCGCTACATCACCAGGAATCGCAATGTTTATATTGCTTTATAGCTTCATATAGCTTTAGTGTGGTAAAGTAAAATACACATTTAACTCACAGTTACTTGTGAGTAATGGTGCGGGAGAAATTCTGTTCAATGGATCCACAGTTCATAGTCCGGACGGGACGGTGGATATGCACTGCTGATGAGCTCTAATAGCAGCGAAACTCGATTCTAGTGCTTCGGAGTGTATAGTTGACGGGATGAACTGAGTATTACGCGTGAAGATGAAGTTCGAAGGATATTCAGTTCAGATCAATAAAGTAACATATATCAAAACTGCTAAACAAACATCGGGAGGGATAAAACGACCACATCACCAGGGTAAGGATAAGATGACAAAAGCTATGGAGTCAGAAGTCATGCGGTATCATACCAGTTGCATGTGCCGATGCACCATAGGAACCAACCTACATCAGCACTGGCATGTTTCGTCCCTCCACGATTGAGGATTTTTACTGAATAAGAATGAAAGTGCATCTTTCCTGTCGATCTTCACAGCGCGCAATGAGATATACAACTCCTTTCCTATGTAGGTTCAACAACGAACTGGAACACTCAAGATTTATTGAAGCAAATCATTATTATTCAAAACACCATGAAAATGTCACCTCATTTGGCGGTGAACTGTTTGCAAAGACCTAACACGTACAGCCGGTTAACTCAACCCGCCACAGAGGTGCGGGTGGTGGTGGTGAATAGTTTATTCGTTGCCACCGGCGTGCTCTGGACCCTATAGTCCGAGATTCGAACCCCACCACCACTACCCAATTTTGCTGTTAGGCCGTTTTGCTGTCGTTTGGTTCAGCACTTCGCCTAACCTAGCGGAGCCTTATATGGTTCGCAATCCCAAATCCCAGGACTTGGGTTA